TACTTTTTGACATGATTAATTTAGAGATTTCTCGAGAAGCAATTTGCTTTCAATTCTTTTGTTCTCGATTGACTAGATTATTAAGGATGAAAAACCTATTACTCTTCTATCGTTGACACCACAACAAGCGCATGAAGATCAATTTAAAGTTAAAAGTGAGAAAAGGAAAAAGAATGAGAGAAAAGGGTGAGGTAGATCTTCTACAACAAGAGAGTAAGAGAGAAAATAGTGAGGTGACTAAGTGTGAGGAAAAAAGTAGAGCCACAAGAGAGAAAAGAAATAGAGAATGAAAAACAAAATAGAGAGGTGGCTAAAAGAGAAGTGGAGCCACAAGAAGAAAAAAGAGAGAGTCTTTAGTTACATGAAAAGGAGAGTCAGTTGGAGAGGGCTTTTGTGAGAACTAACAATTCCCTCTCTTGTTTGGCTATTTCTGTATTACAGGATTTTGAAGACTTGGTATATGAAAACAAGCCTATTGGGATACCATACAATTCGAGCATTGAGCATCAACTTGTGGATGAAGCTAACTAACCCCACCATTGTTTGGTTATCTCTTTATTATCAAAGGCTGACTTTGTGATCTTTGAGAAAACAAAGGAGTTTCAAAGCTAATGGAATGAATATATATCCATGGGGTTGAATGACAAAGATGATCTAAAGGGCAACATAAATCCATGTGCAGTGTTATTGCTACAAGTAATTGGCGAAGATAGGATAGAGAGGATGCACAATGACTTACCAAAGGAGATTGTTCTTGAAGCATCTCAAAATTGCCAAAGGAAACAGTCGAGACGTGTACTCTTTGATCCATGCAATGGTGATTGGGTGTACATACAAAAGAGGTGGATACGAACTCAAAGGAAGTCGAAACTACATCCTAGAGGAGATGGACCATTCCACGTCATTGTCATGATTGGAGACGAGGGCTATAATTTGGTCATTCAAGGTGCGGAATTGAGGTTAAATCTTTTCAAAGAGAGCGAGGATTATGTGATTCTAGGGGGGCAAAAATTATCAGGAACTTGTTGATTGTTGACGAGAGGCCAAGACCAAGATTCAAGTTCATTTTCAAGCAACAAAGCCACGCAAACACTTGTTCAAGCTATGGAGTTCAAAACATTGAAGTTTGCAAGCCAAAGATCAAGATTCATGTTGGATGTGAAAGTCGGGACGAGTGGGATGAACTTGGTTCAAATTTGGGATATAGGGACTTTGCCACTAAACCATGCAACTACATAGTCAATCAAACATGTGGCTGCATGCTACCATGCAGTGAACATGCGACCACCCACATATCTACGATGCGGTCGCATAGAGCAATTCGAGAATAAAAAAATTCCTTTTTCCGCTAGAGGTAGATTTTAGCTAGAATTTGTAATTTTCATAACTTTTATATTTTTTAGAGTTTTATCCCGTTTTAAACTTTGTTTCTAGGTTTAGTATAAATAGGTTTATTCTTCTTCATTATAATAATAAAAAAAGACTTTCTGACATGATTAATTAAGAGATTTCTAGAGAGGCAATTTGCTTCCAATTCTTTTGTTCTTAATTGAACTTATCAAGATTATTATCTTGTGGTGTTCAAAACTACTGGGTGATATTCTTAAATCTTGTAATCTAGAGGTCGACATATCAGTTGATTGTTGGTTGCTTGATTAAATATATTTGGTTCAAATCCAAAACCTTAGCTTAATTGGCTTTCTTGGGTTTGGTTCAATCTTGTTGTGGGTTTCATAGCCATCATTACTACACAAGTTCACATCACTATGGCTATGCTATTCTCTATTGGAAACTTTATACCCAGGTGGTGAATGAATTTGACGGCCTATAATTCCTTTAACACTGGTCTCCCAAGCGCTCCATGATATACAGAGAGATTATCCACTACCAAAATTCCATGAATTGGTGAGCCATGAATGGATATGTCTATATCTGTATTGCTAGAGTAATTTTTCCTCTTAGGACGATGCTGTCAACGGTAAATCTATATAAGGGGAAACTCATTAGAGTTAGCTCGTGTTCAACTTCAATATTATCAAATGTGGCTCCGAATATGATGTTAACTGAGCTTCAATTATCTACCAACATTTTTTTGAGACCATTTCGAGCCACAATAGCCCTTACCACCAGGGTGTCACAATGTGGATAATGTACTTCTATGGCATCGTCTTATGTAAATTTGATGGGTTGTACCCTTATTTCAATAGAGGATAGGCTGTTACTCACTATGAGGTGTTCAAGGCTTCTTTAGCATTGTTTCTTTGAGCATTTTTCAATTCTCATCCGATGTATGGGCTTCCAAAAATGGTGTCGATTTCTCGGATAAGTTCACGACCAACATTGGCCAATAGGCTTCTTTGTCTCTAATCCTCTCTGGGCCTTTCACCCTAGCTATTTTACCTTCGTGGTGCATTACTTCTATTGGGGTGCCTTGTCTCATTATTCCTAGGTTGTCGATCTTGTCTAAGATGTTCGTCTCTTTGCGAACGTCTATTGTGTCTTTGGTTGTTAGGGTGCTTTGCAATATCTCTACAATCAGCAGTGTTATGGCTATAAGAATGGTAATATGTGTAGTTGAGGATGCTTTATCCCTATTTCTAGGTTTGGTACCTCATCATCTACTTCTCCCCATATGAGGGAATCGTTGGTATGGTCTACCTTGGTACGCTTCTGTATTGGGATTCACCTCCTCATAAGATAAGGTAGGAAATGCACTTAATATTACTGTTGCAAATGCTTCTCCTCGGTTGAGGGAGGTTGACTGTTTGACCTGGTGCTCCATTAAGTTGAAGGTAGGATCTTTTCCTCTTTGCATTTGTGGAGACAGAAGTCCTCGATTCGCCTTATTTTGATAATTTCTTAATTCTTCATTGATCATCTCACGCCTTATCATTCCTAGTAAGAGAGAGTTCATATCCAATCCTCCCCTTAGAGCTGTTAGTGCTACTCTGTATTTGACTTGGACACAATAGATCATCTCATTAGTAAAATGAGATAAGAAATTTTTCAACGATTTCCCTTGTTGTTGCCTAATGTTCTAGAGGCGCTATAATAGCCTTTTTCCCTCTTTACTTGTAGCAAAGCGCTTAAGGAAAGCTTTCTTGAAGTCTGACTAGCTTCTAATGCTTCTCTCTGGAATCCTAGTGTACCACACTTCAATCTATCGGCTTAAGGTTAAATGGAAAGCTTTGCAGTTCATGGCAGGATTGTAGTAGCTCAGTCCATATGTAATAAGTATCCCCCTTTGAGTGTAGGAAGGCCTCCTTACCCTGTTCTTCCTGCTCCTCTCAAGTTCATATGATTTTTGAAGTTGTAGAAGTGCTTTGCAAGATCACTTCTTCCATCATACTTGGGGATTTTAGAGAGAGTAAAGTGGTTTAGGACAAGGGTATTCCTAATCCCTTGTGAGAAGGTATTCCTAATCCCTTGTGAGAATATGAGATTATCATCACATTAAGACCCTAGGACCTTTGGTGTTCGTCAAAATTTTCATCCTCTCTTACTTGTGTTTCTTGAGGTAGTTGAGATAGTCTTACTTGATTTATTGCTTATTCTGCCTTCCTCTCACGTCTATTTGTAGGCAATAGTTTCGGGGGCATGTCAATGTAACCTAGTTTATTGTGTCTTTTGAACTGAAGTGGCCTTTGCTACCTCTTTCTAGATGCAAAGAAAGGTTAAGCTTGCCTATTTCTACGCTGCCCTAGGCTCAACCTATAAAAGACGCTAACTAACCTCTGAGGCAGGTCTTCCGGATCATAGTTTGGAGGAAAATTGAATGGAACCTCATGAGGTTGATCGGTGGCATAGTTGGTTGATGTATTAATCTAAACTTCCCTTTCTTGAAGGGCTTTTTCCCTAGTCTGATGCTGGCATCCAATCATTTAGCTCTAAACCTACTCTTCGTTACGGTAATAATTTCCTTTGGAAGGGTCTTGGAATGCATTTTCCTGAGCTGCAGAGGAATTGGTACCCTCCCTGACTCTGTATGTTTCTTAGTAACTCCTTTATGGCAAGGTTCTGTTAGGTTATGCTTCTCATAATGGCAGCCATAGTGGCTACTTCTCTAGCGAGTCTAATAGCTATTCTAGACCTTCCTCGTCTATGTGGTTGGTGGTACAGATGGCGAGTTACTAATACATCGTATGAGCATTCACCTTCTCCAGGGCGTTTTCTGACTCTTCGAGATGCTGACTCTTTATTAGAGAAACTCATGGCAGTCTTTCTGTACAACTTGATTTCTTGGCACTGTAATTTTCCTTTATTTAAGGAATTTTCAGGGCGTTGTTGAGAGAATGACTATGACTTGACTTGAGGAATATTCGGTGATTCTTTTTCAGGAACACTTTTTTTCTTCAAAAGTACGTAGTATTTTCAAATGAAGATTGTTGGCTTTCTTCCACGGGATTCTCTTGGTTGGATGTATTATTTTCCACAGACGGCGTAAATCTGTTGATCCTTTTTTGCAATGGCAATGTGGATAATAAATGTCGGGTCCACTCGTGTTTTCATGAGCAAATTTCGACATGTTTTTATCAGAATAACCAATCAGAGGGTCGAGGGATGTGGAAGATGCTCTACAACAAGAGATGAGCACGTTTGAGCATAGATAGCATGATTGGGAACAGATGTAAATAAACAATCACAAGCCGTCTCACATTGATAAAGGGTTAGTCGACCTACATCCTAGGCTGACATTTCTGACATCCATTAATTCAAACATTACATCAATCATTCCTATAGATATTCTACAGATCAGCTTTGAAGGCAGCAAGTGCTTTGATCTCGAGAGAGGACTTCGGCCGTGAAGGAAAAGTATTTCGGATGGTAGATGTTCTGCCAAAGAAAGTGCCTCAGCCAAGAGTGCATTGGCCAAAGAACGAGTGCTTTAGCCAAAAGGGATTGACTCTTTCCTTTTTCCTTTATTTTGATTTTTTGACTATCAAATGTCTTGTACGTACTGCCTCTACGTGGTTTTCATTGGGAGCTTACGATATGAGACATAACAAATTCAAATGTAAATTATGATATGCATATGCATACACTCTTGATAACATTCCCCCTACTTATTTAATTACTTGAAAATAATAATAAAAAGGGAAAAAAATTGTCTACATTACAAAGATGTTTTCCTCTTGCAATTCTGATCTTGAATGGCTAGGCTACTTGTATTAACAGTCATTGTGCAATTCATTTGCACCACGACATGCTTTTTTATAATGTTGATAATTTTCACCTTTCCACTTATTTTTGTATAGGTACTTACAGACAGTACCCCTGAAGCCAAATCACTTTTTAATCTTGGTAAAATCAATATTTTACCCTCCATAACATCAATGCGAAAGTTCTTATCAACAGTTCGTCGCCCCCTTGCCTCGCCGGCTGCGATTCGGGCTTCCCCGATGACATTACCGTCGTAGTACAGACTTAATGTAGTGTTGCTAAACTTGAAGGAGGCCACATTAGGGTTCTTGACAGAAACATCAGCTTCAACTGTTAGGTTAACTGCCTGGCCGAGATTATTTGGCCTCGCAAGTGCATCGAATCCTTGAATCTTTACATTCTTCATCTTGATCACGGGATCCTTTACGTGAAAAACGGTCAACATGAGCACTAACATAATCATAACTATAGTTAAGAAGATTGCAGTTATGCAGCCACAGCAAGTGATGCACTTTCGGTGGTGATGGTGTCTGAATTCCATCGATATGTCTTCATCTTCATTGATGTCGATCCCGATAGAGGCCGGGGCTAATGGCAGCACTTGCTCCCTCTTCTCGGTCATGACTGAGTACCAATCAAGGTTGTAGCAAAAGGGTTTTACTACTTTACGGTAAAGGAAAATTGGAATACAAGTAATTGATATCAATTGTTGAGGTTATTGAGTCTTGTATCGGTCACAAACTTCTAACACGGTTTTGAATATTGACTGGTGACCTTGTTTTATGGAACTTGATGTGTTTTGGATAGTAATCAAGTGTAAAATGCACAAATAAGTCATGGAAGCTTCTGATTTCTATGTGAACGGAATGAGGTGGGATAAGAAATTGTCCATAAGGAATAGAAAATGGGGTCAAAATGGGATTATTAAACTCTAATTTGTTCCAATTGGGTCATTGAACTTTGACTTAGTTCAAATTTAACGCGTTATCGCATTATGTCATCTATCATCCACAAACGGATAGAAGTTGTTTAAGAGTCACATTATAATTGTTCGAATTAAAACGGGAGAATAATGGTTATGTATTGTTTGTAAATTAAAAAGTTAAAAGTACGTGATTATAGTGATAAATTGATATGTTACGCAACAATTACGTGAAAGATTCAATGTGGTGTAATAAATAAGTAAGAATTTCATCTCTTGAAGAGATAAAAGGTAACAGAGTTTTGAAAACCAAATTGTCCCACCCACAATCCTTCATTTGTTGCTCGAGAGGAACATTCATTTGTCTGGGTTATGGCTCGAGAGAAAGAAAGAGGGGACGAAAGAAACAAGGCTGAGTTTAGGAATGAGAAAGTAAATGACGTTAGATCAATATGACCATACTTGATGAAGTTAATTTAGACATTTAAACTTTAAAAAAAAAAAAAAAAGCCTCTAAACTAAAAATTGTCATTTTGCTTTTTGTCTGTTACAACATGACCATTTTCGAAAAATCACCAATTTGGACATGAAATGATGGAGTGTGCTATACAATTCCATTGGCATGGGACCAAAAATGTTGAAAAGTATTAAAGACTTAAAGCCATGAGACTTGCTTAGTCAAAGTCTTCTACCACTTCATGCCAGAACATAATTAATGAAGAAGATTCGTGGGAATTAACAGAACCAACACTTTGATCAGAATTCGAATATGAAAATGATCCTTATGGACCATTTAGTCAGTTTAAAATTTTGGTCAATTTAATGATTTGCCTAATGAGGACCACACGATCACATTAGGAATTTTTTGGAGATATTTGATACCTTCATTATCGATAACGCGACAAAAGAAGATGTAAAATTGAGACTCTTCAATAAGACTATAAGTAAGGACGTAATAATCAATCAACTTAAATAATACATCTTCTAATATATCGAAACATAAAATTCAAGAAAATATAATTAATAGATTCAAGTGGCATGTATGAGGATTCTTATGAATCAAAGATGTATTCTAGGCCGACGAATGTCGTGTTATAAAAATGTAAAGAAAAAGTGAAACTTCATTAAACTATAGAGTCATGTCGTGTACACTAGTAGTGTATAACAAACTCCGAAAACCAAGGTAGACCCTTTTATTAATGGGCTGAAATAAGCTTAAACCATTGAGTCTGAGGATTTTTTTGACAATTGGAGTCATGAAATTCCAAGCACATGCATTTCTTGGTAAGAATTTTGGAAGAGTAATTTTCAGGATCCCATTCCAAGCACAAGTTTGTCCCTTTCTCATCTTTATTTGCCAACTGAAATTTTGAATTGGAAAGAAATTCCCAGTTAGTCAGGCAATTTGTGGAGAGTGTAACTGGAATTCCATCTCCTGCTGAAGTTAAACACAATGGACTGCCCATTAAACGAATTGGGGTTCCATTTCGATTATGGCTCCATAAGTTGAAGCTCAAGCAATCACTTGCTCGAGTTTCGTTGTTGGCGTCGACCTGAATACAACTTCCGCTCATTGGATGATACAGTATGTAATACATTGGATCCACGAACTTTGGATCTGTGTAGAGTTATTTTCCAAATAAGTAAAATAAAAGAAACTTTTCTGTTATACAAATATATGTTGCCCCTAAAGAATGCAGTGAATCGACTAATAAATAAGTACTTGTTGATTCAATCGAATACCAAGAATTGATTCAATTTTTGTTGATTCTACTTGAATACCGAATAAATAATTTAATTAACAAATAGTTGATTTGTGTTCGAATAGAGTAATTGATTTGGTATAGCAGAAAAGAGAGAACTTTACCTTGGAGTTTTTGTTGGATGAGCTGAAGCTTCCTATGAAATTCTGGGCTTCTAAGGTTGGTCCAATTTGAGGTCAGAAGCCCAAAACTCTCCTCAGGCCCATGAAGCCCATCTCGTATATAGTAACTGCCTTGTAAAGTCCATATACTCCAGTCCAAATCCATTTCAGCCAAATAGCCCAAAAAGCAGCCCAAAAACATATTGTCGGCCCGGTTCAGGCCCAACTGATTAATCCCAAATTCACTCACAAACAAAGGTGCAGAATTATTTCCCTCAATTAAAAATCCAGATTTAGTTTTTATTTCTTGAGTAACATTTTCACAAACTTCATTTGGTGACTGGTTTATCCATAAATCACTTTGTCCTTCACTGAATGAATACCTATGAATTTCATAGACCAATTTGTTCTCGAAACTTAATTGTAATGGCTTTGCTTTTAGGAAAGTAAAATCAAGATCGTAACCCAAACAAGAGACGATTACTAGAAGGTTTGAATTTGCTTCGTGAATTGTCGTTGCACCCTTCTTGATGTATTCATACCAAACATTCTCGTTTTGGAGTGGACCTCGCAATTCATTTCTCATACTCATGGCCACAACCTACATGCAGAAGAAACCATCGTTTAAGTACCCTATTCATGCTTGGAGATAACTGCTCCATCCATCTTCAATTCTTGAAATAACAAATTTGTATATCATGAAATCAAGAAATCAAGAGGTTCGGGATGACAAACACAGTTAATCGATAGTTTTGTTTCCTTTGATCATCGAATTTTTCTGGCTTATATTTATACACTACTTATAATCGTTTAAGTCATTTTTATCCACACAATTCTAAAAACCCACAAAAAGTACTCACTTCGTAACTCATTACTGGTGTGCTTTCAAAATGTGACACGAAAAATGATAAAAATAAAAATAAAAATTTCACACTTACCATAGACGTGTCTTTGTAGTGCTTGGCTACAAAGGCCAATCCTTGTAACCACTCTATGGGGTCAAAAAACTTGTCCCCAAAGAATCCATTCCCATCTTGATCACCACAACACCAGATTGGTTTGCTAACATGATTATCAAGAACCACCATAATACCACACAAACCAAGCTCTTCAATCACGGAATTTTGGGCATCAACGACGGTCAGGTTCACAAGATCCGGGTTGTTCTTGGCTATGCCCATCAAGGCATCTTCAAGTCCAAGATTGCGAAAAGATTGGGTTATCGTGAGATTGGGATATCGAGTTACCATATAGGTTGCCCACGTGAGCCGAACGCAATTAAAGCCCATTGTAGACACATGCCTTGCAATTTGGCCCAAGGGCCTTCTATCAAGTCCCTCGGCCAACATTGGCTCGAGGTGACCCGCCCAGTTTACACACCTCAGCTTCACTCTTTCTCCGGTGAGCTCGTCTATTATCCATCTCGTGTTCGTCAATAAAGGAAGAGAATGACAGCACAAGACTGTTGAAGAAAGAAAAAATAGTGGTATTAGTAGAATAACTTGCATTTTCCCCTCAATTTTTAATCATAAATTGCTCGAGAAAATGTATAGTGAGAGAAGACAATTAATTTAGGTTGATTAGAATGTTATCTACATCCCATCGAAACACACGAAATGTGAATTCATTGAATAATTCATTAATAATTTGTCTGAAGTGGGAGGTAAGAAACAGATGGGAAATTAATCACCTGTTTCTTTTCAGAAAGTTGTTACAATTTAAGTAAAAGTAAGCTTGACATTAAATTGGTGTCGGAAAAATTCCATTGTATGGGCCACACATGTATATATTGTGAAATGTGTGATGCTAATTTTAAGGATTTGTCTGTAAAGTAATTCATTATGTTTAATTTTGGACTAATGGGTATTAAATCTCATAAGAATAAAGTATAAAAATCATAAACATTATTTTAAATTGATGAGGGGCCAATTTGAAATGACACAAAATTAATAATTGCCAATAACAGTTATTTTATTATAGGGTCTTGGTCCCCATGCACGTGAATTCACAATTCTCTGCATCCCCATTAGCAGAGAAGAAAATTCAAGAAGATCACGTAACAATTGAAAGATCAAAACTAACCAAACCATTGAAATCCATGGATCAGGGCACGTTTCCACTTTAATCTTCTATTTGATTTCAAGATGGAGCATTTATGAAATTTATGAAAGGATTTGATGAATTTTCGATGCTTTTCAATTTCTTACAAGTGGTATTAGAACACTCCATTGTTGAATCTTTGAGAAATTGCAAGAATTAGGAGTTTTACAGTTTTTGTATTGTGGGTCATTTTTTATCTTTTGTAATGATATTGTATGAAATATAAATCTTGTAATATTCTAAGGATTTTTAGATTTGACAATTTTGGATCCCTTTTTGTTGAATTTGAAAATCATTTGGCACATTATTCATGGTTATTTTTCTAGATTTGGATTAAAGTTTTGAAGTTTCTATATATGGTTTTGGGTTTTAAAAAAAAAAGATGTTTCTGGATCTAGTTGGCGACAGCACTGCGTTTTGCAGCAGCGTGGGCCTGGTTTGAAGAGCAGCACCGATTGCCGATGCCATTAATGAGGAGGGGGAGAGAGAAACAGAGAGTTTTGGATGATTTGGGGATGGGGGCCATACTTGCAAACTAGATAACTTGAGGCCCCCTTCATGCAATTTCACATAGGGTTAACAAATTTAAGTTTCAATCCCTAATGTTTAAAGTTCATCCAAGTTGGATCTTTAAGGTTATTGGTTTATTAATTCATCCCTTAAAGTTTGAAAATTATTTAATTTAGGTCATTAGAATTCTGAAATTTTCAAATAAAACCCTCAATGTTAATTAAAATTGGCCCCCAAAGTTTTAAATTTTCAGATTTTGACCCCTAAAGTTTTGAATTCTTAACCCTTAGGTCCCTAAAGTTTCTAAAGGCATCTAATGATGTAAAATTAGTGATTCTCTTTACTAAGGACTCTTTTAAAAGATATAATTGAGATTTAATTATGTGGGACAATCAAATTTAGATAATTTAGTATATCATTTGTGATAAATTAAGGTTATCTAGCATTTTGAATAAACTAATCGAAACAATGTGTAACCAAAGTGACCTCTCTTGTATAGATTGGTTTGTTTGGGATGTTTAGAATTTTTATTTATTTATTTATTTATTTTTTTGTATGTGTTTCTTCATTCAGGTATTAGTCGACCCAAGGGAAGGTTAATACTTGGCTGAACTACATACAAATTTGCGTTGATAAATGTGTGACAATTATAAGGTTTCAATGTGAATAATAAATCAATCCAAAGATAAGTTTATTATTTGATAGGATTTATTATCAATGTTTGATCATTGCACAGAGAGTACCACTTGTAATTAATATTGCTGTCCAAAGACTTGATATTAATGTTGCAGTAGGTATCTTGAGAAGGGGTTTACAATTATTTGAATTTATTGTTCATTAAATGTGGATATGGATATGGATATGAGCATGATTATTTGTTTAGTTTTTGTTCTTTGTACAGCTAATTCTTCTGTTACTATTATATTTGTCAATGTTAATTCTATTCACATGCTCAATGGGACAAACTTCAAGGGTTGGAAGGAGAACATATTGATTGTTCTTGACCGCGTGGATCTGACCTTGCACTTCGGATTGAGGAACCTACTCCTTTTACGAAAGAAAGTTCACTTGATGAAAAGAGGAACTTTGAGAAATGGGATCTCTCAAATTGCATAAGTCTAATGATCATTAAGCACAGCATTCTGAAAGCCTTTAGAGGTGTAGTATCCGAAGGGATAACTAATGCTAAGGAGTTCCTCGTCGAAATTGAGAAGTGTTTTGCGAAAAACGATAAGGTTGAAACAAGCACGCTTTTGCAAAACTTGATTTCAATGAAGTATAAAGGCAAGAGGAATATAAGGGAGTACATCATGGAGATGTCTCACATTGCTTCAAAACTTAAAGGGCTCAAGCTTGAGCTGTCTAATGACTTGCTCATACATTTGGTATTGATCTTCCTTCCTACACAGTTCCCTAAATTTAAGGTCAGTTATAATTGCCAGAAAGAGAAATGGTCTCTAAATAAGCTCATTTCATTTTGTGTGCAAGAGGAAGAAAGGTTGAAGCAAGAAAGAACAGAAAGCGCCCACTTGGCAAGCAATTGTAAGGATAAGGCAAGAAAAAGAAGAAGAAATATGAAGATGCTCCTAAGGGTCCAAAACAAAAGAAATGAAATGAAGACAAAGGGACTTATTTCTTTTGTAATAAAACTGGACATGTGAAAAAGGACTATACCAAATATCATGCATGGCGTGGAAAGAAAGGTGTAATTTTTACTTTGGTTAGATCTGAGGAAAATTTAACTTTAGTACCTAGAAACACTTAGTGGATAGATTCTGTTGCTACTACTCACATAAATGTTTCTAGGAGGGACTACTGAAAACCAAGTGATGGTGAAAGATACATCTATGTGAGAGATAGCAAATCAGTGGAAGTGGATGTAATAGACACTTTTAGGTTATTATTAGGAAGTGGTTATTACTTGGATTTGAAAGACACTTTTGTTGTACCGTCGACAAATCTGAATACTGCTGTTCATTTGGAAACAGTTAGTTTAGTCTTTCATTAAATTTCAATGTTAGTGGTACTTGTTCTTTATCTACATTTGATAACCTATACTTGCTTGATATTATTGCATTATATAATGAGATCTTGCATGTGGAATCACGTGGTACTAAACGCAAATTAAATAAAAAAATTCAGTAAAATTATCGTACAGGCGCTTAGGTCATATTTAAAAAGCTAGAGTTGAACGACTTGTGTCAGATGATATTTTGAATTTCCTTGACTTCATGGATTTTGATGTATGTATTGATTGTATCAAGGGAAAACAGATCAAAACAAAGAGATTATGTGTTAACAGAACTTCGGACGTATTCGAATTGATACACACAAATATTTGTGGGCCATTCCCTACGGCTTCGTGGAATGATCAACAATATTTTATATCATTCATAGACGATTACTCAGGTCATGGATACTTATATCTCATCCATGAAAAGTTTGAGTCACCGGATGTGTTCAAAACTTTTAAAACTGAGGTTGAGAATCAACTCAACAAAAGGATAAAGAGCGTATGTCTGACCGTGGTGGTGAGTACTATGGCAGATATGATGGTTCGGGTGAACAATGTTCAGGACCATTTGCTAAATATCTGAAGGAATGTGGCATCATCCCACAATACACCATGCCAGGATCGCCTAGCATGAATGGTGTAGCTGAAAGATGAAACATGACTCTTAAGGACATGGTAAGGAGTATGATTAGTTATTTCACCTTAGCAAAATCACTCTAGGAAGAGACTTTAAAGGCCGCAGCTTATATTCTGAACAGAGTATCAAGTATAAAGCCTAGTCTAAAGTATTTTTACAATTGGGGATGTCCAGCTGAGGCTAGGCCTTATAGGCCACATGAAAAAAAAAATTTGGACTTTAAAAGAGTAAGCAGCTATTTTATTGGTTATTCTGAGCTATCTAGGGGCTATAAATTTTATAATCCCATACTTAAGTCATTTTTTGAAACGTGAACTACAACATTTTTTGAGGATGTTGAGTTTGGAGGGGAAAATAAGCTTAGAGAAATTGTCTTTGAGGAAGAAGTTGAGGAAGGATCGATTTCAATTTCTACTATTGCTTTTGACAATGTCTAGGTTTCTATACCTATCATTGATCAAGAAGTATATACAGAACCTCAACAAGACAACGTTGAAGAACCTCCCATCCAAAATGAGGTAATTATTGTAGCACTCTGAATTTTAAATTTTAATATCGTGTGGGCTAAATTTAATGTTGGTAATTTGGCAAATAAAATAATCCATCCAACATTTTTGTCACGTTAAATTCCAAACGTTGAAATGATAAACACGTCTCACTTATTTGCATAAATGATTTATTTTGCATACGTATATTTTTTGAAATTATCATAAGTTATTTGGGTCAAATATTTAAGTTATTTCAAAAGTTGATAAAAATATATATTGATATTATGCTCATTTTGTAACTGGTGTAAATTGGCTCAAAAATAATTTTGGACTAATCATATTCGAGTTATTTTGATAGAAAGAAAATTATTCTAATCTTATATTTTATTAACATATATATGTGAGAAGTGTTTTTTTTTCTTTACACACACATTCGCAGTGAAAACACATATTAAAAAGAGATATTATTTTATTCACAAGCCATTTTCAGAATTTTTATTTTTTTTTATTTTATAGTAGCAAATCAAGGTAAGAAATATGCAAGTGGTTAATTCTTATTCTTAATATTTTATTGAATTTTGGCATGAAATACGTTAAGACCTTCAAATCGATTTTTATGTTAAATCCTACGGGATGGACTGTTTGGTTGAGTATGTAAATCACACGGGATATAGAAATTATTATGAAATTCCTTACCTATTGGATGTCGCGACCAGTTTGCTCTATATCTAAGAAATATCGGTATGCCATGTCATTTTATATTTATATTATGTTAATGAGAATATGCATATTTTTCTTACTGGTTTTTTTTTTAAATACTCACTCTTACTAGATTTTTAGATTAGAACGGGTCGTGTGGACACGTGACGGAT